TCTAATAGATTTTTGATGGAGTCTTTAGGGTTTTCTATGTACAATATCATGTCATCTGCAAATAATGACAGTTTCACTTCCTCCTTTCCAATTTGGATCCCTTTTATTTTTTCTTCATGTCTGATTGCTGTGGCTAAGACTTCCAGTACAATGTTAAACAAGAGTGGCGAAAGTGGACATCCCTGTCTTGTTCCTGTTCTTAATGGAAATGTTTTTAGTTTCTGTCCATTGAGTATGATGTTGGCTGTAGGTCTTTCATATATGGCCTTTATTATGTCGAGATATGATCCCTCTATTCCTACATTGCTGAGCGTTTTTATCAGAAATGGATGCTGGATTTTGTCGAATGCTTTTTCAGCATCTATTGATATGATCATGTGGTTTTTATTCTTCATTTTGTTTATGTGGTGTATCACGTTTATTGATTTGCGAATATTGTACCAGCCTTGCATCCCTGGAATGAATCCCACTTGGTCATGGTGAATAATTTTTTTGATGTATTTCTGGATCCGATTTGCTAGTATTTTGTTCAGGATTTTGGCATCTATGTTCATCAGGGATATTGGCCTGTAGTTTTCTTTCTTCGTAGTGTCTTTTTCTAGTTTTGGAATTAGAATTATGCTGGCCTCATAGAACGTGTTTGGAAGTCTTCCTTCTTCTTGAATTTTTTGAAATAGTTTGAGGAGAATGGGTGTTAGTTCTTTTTTGAATGTTCGGTAAAACTCCCCCGTGAAACCATCTGGGCCTGGGCTTTTGTTTGCTGGGAGAGTCTTGATTACCTCTTCAATTTCCTTAGTTGTTATTGGTCTGTTCAAGTTTTCTATCTCTTCCGGGAATAGTTTTGGGAGACTGTGTGTTTCTAGAAATTTGTCCATTTCGCTGAGATTGTCGAATTTGTTGCCATATAGTTGTTCATAGTAGTTGTTAACGATCTTTTGTATTTCCGTGGTGTTGGTTGTTACTTCTCCTCTTTCATTTCTGATTTTGTGTATTTGGGTTCTCTCTCTTTGTTTCTTGGTGAGTCTAGCTAAGGGTCCATCAATCTTGTTTATCTTTTCGAAAAACCAGCTCTTTGTTTCATTGATCCTTTGAATTGTTTTTTTGGTCTCTATGTCATTTATTTCGCTCTGATCTTTACTATTTCCTTCCTTCTACTTGCTCTGGGGTTTTCTTTTTGTTTGCTTTCTAATTCTTTAAGTTGTGAGGTTAGACAGTCAATTAGAAATTTTTCTTGTTTTTTGAGGTAGGCCTGTAGTGCTATGAACTTCCCTCTCAGAACTGCTTTCGCTGCATCCCATAGATTTTGTGTTGTTGTGTGTTCATTTTCATTGGTTTCCAGGAAGTTTTTGATTTCTTCCTTGATCTCCTCGGTGACCCATTCATTGTTTAATAACATGCTATTTAGCCTCCATGTGTTGAAATGTCTTTGCATGTTCTTGTTGCAGTTGATTTCTAGTTTCATGCCATTGTGATCTGAGAAGATGCTTGATATGGTTTCAATCTTCTTGAACTTGTAGAGATTTAGTTTGTGTCCTATCATGTGGTCTATCTTTGAGAATGTCCCATGTGCACTTGAGAAGAATGTGTATTCTGTAGTTTTGGGGTGTAATTCTCTGTAGATATCTATTAAATCCATTTGGTCTAGTGCTTCATTTAGAGTCTCTGTTTCCTTGCTAATTTTTTGCCTAGAGGATCTATCCAGTGCTGTCAACGGGGTGTTGAAGTCCCCAGCTATGATTGTATTGTTGTCGATTTCTCCTTGGAAGTTCTCCAGAAGATTTTTAATATATTTTGGTGCTCCTGTATTGGGTGCATATATGTTTATCAAGGTTATATCTTCCTGTTGGATAGATCCTTTCAATATTATGTAGTGGCCGTTTTTGTCTCTAGTTATGGTCTTCATTTTGAAATCTATTTTATCAGATATGAGAATTGCTACCCCAGCTTTTTTTTGCTTTCCATTTGCTTGGAAAATTTTTTTCCATCCCTTCACTTTCAACCTATGTGAGTCTTTTGTTGAGAGATGGGTCTCTTGTAAACAACATATAGATGAGTCATGCTTTCTTATCCAATCAGCTACTCTGTGTCTCTTTATGGGAGCATTCAGTCCATTTACGTTTAAGGTGATTATTGATATGTACTTATTTATTGCCATTTTTGTTTAGTGTGGTTCTATTTTTGTTCCCATTTCTACTGCTAATTACAGCAGTCCTTTTAACATTTCTTGCAGTGCTGGTTTGGTGCTAATGTATTCCCTTAGCTTTTTTTTGTCTGGGAAGCTCTTTATTTGATCTTCTATTTTGAATGATAGCCTTGCTGGGTAGAGTAGTCTTGGATTCAGATTCTTGTTTTTCATGACTTTGATTACTTCATGCCATTCCCTTCTGGCCTGTAGTGTTTCTTGTGAGAAGTCAGCTGAGAGCCTTATGGGGTTCCCTTTGTAGGTAACCTGTTGCTTATCTCTTGCTGCTTTTAGGATTCTCTCTTTGTCTTTAATTTGTGGCATTTTAATTACTATGTGTCTTGGTGTGGGCCTGTTTGGGTTCTTCTTACTTGGGACTCTCTGTGCTTCTTGAACTTGAATGCCTTCTTCCTTCACCAAATTAGGGAAGTTTTCTCTCACTATTTTTTTGAATATATTCTCTATCCCTTGCTCCTTTTCTTCTTCTTCGGGGACTCCTATGATGCGAATATTATTACGTTTCCAGTTGTCCCATAGTTCTCTTAAGCTGTCTTCCTGTTTTTTAATAGTTTTTTCCTTTTGTTTTTCTGATTGGTTGATTTTTTCTACCCTGTCTTCTAATTCGCTGATCCGGTCCTCAGCTTCCCCTACTCTGCTTTTTAAACCTTCCAATGTGTTTTTCATTTCGGATATGTCATTTTTTATCTCTTCTTGTTGGTTTTTAATTTCCATTTGGCTTATTTTCAGTGTCTCTATGTCCTTACTCATGCTGTTCAGCTTCCTCAAGATCATGGCTCTGAATTCTAGCTCTGTTAACATGCCTAATTGCTCCACATTGATCTCATCTTCGGTGGAGGTGGTTTGCTCTTTCATTTGGCTTCTGTTTCTGTGTTTCACCATTTTAGCTATCACTCTGGGCTTTGGAGCCTGTCAAGTTCTCCCTGTGGGTGTTGGTGTTCTGCTGTTTGTGGCTCCCTCTCCTGTGTTTAGATGAGCGAGGGAGGACCCGCGTTGAACACCACTGTCAAGTCTTACTTTCCTGGTTAAAGTTGCCAGCCCAGGAAACGTACTGTTATCCTCTAGCTTTTTGCCTGGAAGCTAGCAGTCTAGGTTAATTGATGAGTTTTGGGTTGTCAGTTGATTGAAAAACTCCCTCTGGTGCTCAGCCAAGGGGCTTTCACGAGGGTGGGGCAGATGCTGGTCCTTAGTGAGCCTCAATTAACACTTCAATGGCCCACAGGGTGGGGTTGGATCTCCGAGGGAGGGGCTGCTGCCTCTCTCAGAGCCCTGGGAAGAAGCAATGTGGCCACCGTCCTGAGTGGCTGCACTCAGCCAAAGCTCCGAGAGCCCTCCAAACCCCGAGTGTCCCGACACAGTTCCAGTCCAGTCTGCCCTCCCTCTGCCGGAGCCCAAGGTGAGTGGCTGTGGCTGTTTTAGCCTCAGTCCCGGCTGCGCTGTGGGGCCGCCTGGGAGTGTAACCCGCGGGCGCCGCTTATAGCTAAGGCCGCTGCCGAGCTGCCGACCGTGCGCTCCCAGCCCCGTCTCGCGCCTTCGCAAGCCTACCGGGATGGAGTCAGTGTCCCTCGTTGTATGGTCCTCGCAAGCTGCTTTTCTGTTGGTTTTTCCCGTCGATTTGTCTGTGTTATAGTTGTAATTCCAGTTTGGTTCTGGGAGACGGTCTGTGTAGCTCCGTTCACTCCGCCGCCATTTTTTCAGTCTACTATTGAGTCTTGTAAATCCTTTCAGTGAATCAGAAAACTTGATTGCAGCCTTCAGATACACAAACATCGAGTTACTTGTATAATGCCTGGCAAATAGTTCACATCCAATACAAGTTAACTACTTGCATTTAACTTATGCCTGCTAGCTGTTATAGGGGACTAATTTTACTGTACTAGAATATAGGCTGGGATTATAGGATTTTGCCTGATTTTCTCAACTATGCCCTTGGAAGAAGACAAGAATAACATCTTTTCAGTAGGGAAGTTAAAGGATATAACTCCAAGATTCTCCCCTGTCCACCCACCCCTGCCCACTCAGAGTGAGGAGGTACCATGTAGGGAAAATGGGTAGACATCAGACCTCCAATTGGGACCTTTTGAGAATGCACAGCAGGAAAAACTCTTTTACCATTTTGAAAGGTAACAAAAATAATTAAAAGTCTTGTTGAGAGTTATAAAGACTGGAACATTTAGACTGGTATCATGGAGCCTCAGGTATGTGCACTGGAGGCTGAAGTCTCATTTTAGATAGCAGTCACAGGAGGCAGTGGTGTTACATATAGCTATCAGGAGTTTCCCTAACTCAACCAGAACCAAGCTCACACAGCCATTTTTGCTAAGCACTGAGCACTACAGAAAGACAAGCTTGAACTGTAAGGACTGCATATAAACATTAAAAAATAAACTTGGTTGAGTTGGAATTTTGAGGGCAAATCCAAGGGAAGGAGGAGTCCAAGGTACTTATTTTGCAATTTCTTTCTAGGTTTGTGTATGTGTGTATGTTTGTGGTTCCCATCTAAGTGACAAGATCTAAATAAGGTACATCAAAAGAGTCTTCTGCCTCTAAAATGCAATAATAATTACAATGAAGTCATTTGTTATGCCAGGCATTTAATTAATATTTTTCCAATAAATTGCCTCCAAGATGGACAGGACTAATCTCAATAGTGATCACCAGGTGGATTTTCCCTTTTTAGTATATCTTTAAGAATGGCGAGCATAAAAAAGTTGGTATAGATTTAATTCTTCACAGGTGTTTTTTTTTAAATTGAGCCCTTAATAACTTGGGGTGTTATTAAGAATGACTTTATCAAGGTTTATGTTGCAAAAAAAATGGTTATTTCCCTCTCATTCTCGTCATCACTGTCATATGTCATCATATCACTGTCACTCACATTGCCATAGAATGCATTGTCTCTGGAATCTACCTTATTAAAGGACTTAGAAAAAGGCTTCACTTCACATGGAAAAGATAGGTTTTGAGCTTTTGTACTCTTGACCTCAGAAATACCATTGACCCAAGACTCAGAAGTAGTTCTGCAAACAAGGCAATTTTCTTTATAGTATGGACAAGAGTTGACTAATGGAGACATAAATAACATATCTGCCCTACCAGTACTAACTGATCTTTTTAGATTATGATGTCCGGAGGACTTGGTCAATTGCTGTAAACTGGATGAATTTGGTAGCAAAATTTTATTTTGTGGACAGGTTGGATAAAGTGGTTCAGTTGGTCCAAGTGAGTATTGTAAACTGGCTGACGAAGGTGGCCTTACTGCCCTATTTGGATTGAACAAACAATCTTGACTGCCTAGCTTATGGTCATAAGATAGTTTATGTTACTTATCTATACTGTGTTTTCTATAAGACTTTCCTAGGTGAGATGACCTGAACATACTTTTTGAGCTTGATGGTTTGATATACTTTTCTGCACTAGTTGGTATAGAGAACTCTTCTGAACTCAAGGACCTGATTACATTTTCTGAACTGGATGATATGGATGACTTCTCTGGACTTAAGACTCAGATAAGTGGTCTATAGCAAATAGCATGAGTTGTTTATCTGGAATACATAGGTTGGCTGTCTCGTATGTACTGAATGATATTTTGGATGACCTGGATGACTTAGTAGCTACACGTTCCTTGACCCTGAAAATATAAAAAATTTGTAGTATGACAATGACAACAAAAGAACATTATTGCTATCACCAGAAAATATAGGTTATTGTCAGTTTAGACTTTTGGTCTTTTTTTTTTTTTTTGCTCTAGTAGGAGTGTGGTGAAAGTCATTACTCAGGTTACAGATAAGAACTCATTGAATTCATGCTGTTTCTTTTTTCAGAGTATTTTACTGTTTCAACCACATTAGATAACTATATAGTCTACATATGGAATAATACAAAATTGTTTTAAATCTACTGTTGAGAAAGAATTTCATTTATTCCAGAAATTAAACTTTTTATTTAAAAAAGTCACAAATTGATACAGAACTGATATATGAATATCACAGCTTGTCACAGTAAAAAAATAAACTTTTTAGATGAAAGTCTTGGTTTCCTGTTATAGTTATCTATTCATGCATATTTATATTCACAACATTACTCTAAAACTAAAGGAAGAAAGCATTTGTATACTCTAGTCATTAGTTCTTGTATTGGGAAATATTTAGGGAATCATTATATTAGGGCCAGTCTGATCCTCCTATATGAAAGGCAGGGATTTGAGATAATGAGAACAGTGAATAATTTGTCATGTTAATACATCTTAAAATGGTACATTATCCAAAATGTTTCATTGTCTTTGGAATGCAAGCACAATTCCGTCTCTCTCCCCTTTTTCATTCTCCCTGTCTTCTTCAGATAGTCATGCTTTATTTTCCTAGATTCAATTTATAATGAAATTAATAGCCTGGAGCTCAGCTGAATCCTGAAGAGGAGGTAGCTTTGGCTAAAGTTGATAATGTACTTGAGAATATTTAAGAGCTGATATCATTCAAGTGTAAGTATCCACCCACAAGATGTTGGTAGCTCTTTAGAAGTCCAAAGTTAACATTAAGTAACCACCACAACAATGAAACCCCCACTATATGTACACACACACACACACACACATACACACACACCCCTTGCATTCTTAATTCAAGGTGTAAAACTTACATCTTTGCTTTGGGGACATCTTTGTTCAAACAATTATAATGGAGGCAACAAAAAGAGGTACAGATAAAAGCTGTGCTCATAATACCAACTACCATAATGAATAGACATCTTCTGTAATTGTCCATTTTGGCCTGCATTGATTCAAAGTGCTTAGCTCCTGTCCAAAAGATTGTATCACCAGAAAATGATAAGTAACCAAATTTTCTTCTATTTTGATAGTGGTTTGCCACTATAGATGAAAATAAAACCTCTTCATCAATGATTTTTTATTTATTTTTATTTTTTATTTTTTATGAATTTTTATTTATTTTTTTGTTACAGATATTTTAACTTTTTACCCCATTGGCACCCCCCCCCACCCTGTCCCCGGCATAGTTGTCCATGTCCATTGGTCATGCATACATGCATATAGGTTCTGTGGTTTATCTCTTCCCCCCCCCACCCCCCATCCCCTCTTCTGAGGGATGTCAGTCTGTGCCCTTCTTCCATGTGTCTGGGTCTACTGTACTCCTCAGACTGTTATGTTCATTATATTCTGTATATAAGTGATATCATGTGGTATTTGTCTTTTTCTGCTTGGCTTCTTTCACTTAGGATAATACTTTCCAGGTCCCTCCATGTCGTCTCAAAGGATAAGAGATCTTTCTTTCTTACCGCTGCATAGTACTCCATTGTGTATATCTACCACAGCTTTTTGATCCATTCGTCTACTGGTGGACACTTGGGCTGTTTCCAGATCTTAGCTATTGTAAATAGTGCTGCTATGAACATGGGGGTACATATATTCTTCCTGATTGGTGTTTCAGGCTTCTTAGGGTATATTCCCAGCAGTGGGATCACTGGGTCAAATGGAAGTTCAATTTTTAATTTTTTGAGGTAGCACCATATTGTTTTCCATAGCGGCTGCACCAGTCTGCATTCCCACCAGCAGTGTATTAGAGTCCCCTTTTCTCCACACCCTCGCCAACACTTGTTGTTTGATGATTTGTTGATGGCGGCCATTCTGACAGGTGTGAGGTGATACCTCATTGTTGTTTTAATTTGCATCTCTCTGATGATTAGTGATGTTGAGCATTTCTTCATATGTCTCTTGGCCATTCGTATGTCCTGTTTGGAGAGGTGTCTATTCAGCTCCTCTGCCCATTTTTTAATTGGGTTCTTTGTCTTCCTTTTGTGGAGTTGTATGAGCACTATATATATTGGAAATTAACCCCTTATCTGATACATCATTGGCAATGATGTTCTCCCATACAGTGGGTTGCCTTTCCATTTTGATGATTGTTTCTTTTGCTGTGCAGAAGCTTTTGAGTTTGATGTAGTCCCATGTGTTCATTTTCTCCTTTATTTCTGTTGCCTTAGGTGATGTATCAGTGAAAATTCCGCTCCGTATGATGTCCGAAATTTTGTTGCCTACATTTTCTTCTAGAATTTTTATGGATTCACGGGTCACATTTAAGTCTTTTATCCATTTTGAGTTTATTTTTGTGTATGGTGTAAGTTGATGGTCTAGTTTAATTTTTTTGCAAGTAGCTGTCCAATTTTCCCAACACCATTTATTAAAGAGGCTGTCTTTACTCCACTGTATGCTCTTGCCACCTTTGTCAAATATTAATTGAGCGTATTGCCTTGGGTCCATTTCTGGGTTTTCAGTTCTGTTCCACTGGTCTATATGCCTGTTCTTGTGCCAGTACCAGGCTGTTTTGGTTACAGTCGCTTTGTAGTATAACCTGATATCTGGTATTCTGATCCCACCTACTTTGTTCTTCTTTTTCAAGATTGCTGTGGCTATTCGGGGTCTTTTTGGTTCCATATGAACTTTTGAAGTATTTGTTCTAGTTCTATGAAATATGTCGTTGGTATTTTGATGGGGATTGCATTGAATCTATAGATTGCTTTGGGTAGTATGGACATTTTAATTATGTTAATTCTTCCAATCCATGAACAGGGTATGTGCTTCCACTTTTTTATATCTTCCTCTATTTCTTTTTTCAATGACCTGTAGTTTTACTTCTTTGGTTAAGTTTATTCCTAGGTATCGTAATTTTTTTGGAGCGATGGTAAATGGGATTGTTTTTTCAGTTTCTCTTTCTGTGAGTTCATCATTGATGTACAAGAATGCCGTCGATTTCTTGACGTTAATTTTGTATCCTGCTACTTTGCCAAATTCATTTATTAAGTCTAATAGATTTTTGATGGAGTCTTTAGGGTTTTCTATGTATAATATCATGTCATCTGCAAATAATGACAGTTTCACTTCCTTTTTTCCAATTTGGATCCCTTTTATTTTTTCTTCATGTCTGATTGCTGTGGCTAAGACTTCCAGTACAATGTTAAATAAGAGTGGTGAAAGTGGACATCCCTGTCTTGTTCCTGTTCTTAATGGAAATGTTTTTAGTTTCTGTCCATTGAGTATGATGTTGGCTGTAGGTCTTTCATATATGGCCTTTATTATGTCGAGATATGATCCCTCTATTCCTACATTGGTGAGCGTTTTTATCAGAAATGGATGCTGGATTTTGTCGAATGCTTTTTCAGCATCTATTGATATGATCATGTGGTTTTTATTCTTCATTTTGTTTATGTGGTGTATCATGTTTATTGATTTGCGAATATTGTACCAGCCTTGCATCCCTGGAATGAATCCCACTTGGTCATGGTGAATAATTTTTTTGATGTATTTCTGGATCCGATTTGCTAATATTTTGTTCAGGATTTTGGCGTCTATGTTCATCAGGGATATTGGCCTGTAGTTTTCTTTCTTCGTAGTGTCTTTTTCTGGTTTTGGAATTAGAATTATGCTGGCCTCATAGAACGTGTTTGGAAGTCTTCCTTCTTCTTGAATTTGTTGAAATAGTTTCAGGAGAATGGGTGTTAGTTCTTTTTTGAATGTTCGGTAAAACTCCCCCGTGAAGCCATCTTGGCCTGGGCTTTTGTTTGCTGGGAGAGTCTTGATTACTCTTTAATTTCCTTAGTTGTTATTGGTCTGTTCAAGTTTTCTATCTCTTCCGGGTCTAGTTTTGGGAGACTGTGTGTTTCTAGAAATTTGTCCATTTCGCTTAGATTGTCGAATTTGTTGCCATATAGTTGTTCATAGTAGTTGTTAACGATCTTTTGTATTTCCGTGGTGTTGGTTGTTACTTCTCCTCTTTCATTTCTGATTTTGTGTATTTGGGTTCTCTCTCTTTGTTTCTTGGTGAGTCTAGCTAAGGGTCCATCAATCTTGTTTATCTTTTCGAAAAACCTGCTCTTTGTTTCATTGATCCTTTGAATTGTTTTTTTGGTCTCTATGTCATTTATTTCTGCTCTTATCTTTACTATTTCCTTCCTTCTACTTGCTCTGGGGTTTTCTTTTTGTTTGCTTTCTAATTCTTTAAGTTGTGAGGGTAGACAGTCAATTAGAAATTTTTCTTGTTTTTTGAGGTAGGCCTGTAGTGCTATGAACTTCTCTCTCAGAACTGCTTTCGCTGCATCCCATAGATTTTGTGTTGTTGTGTATTCATTTCATTGGTTTCCAGGAAGTTTTTAATTTCTTCCTTGATCTCCTCGGTGACTCATTCATTGTTTAATAACATGCTATTTAGCCTCCATGTGTTGAAATGTCTTTGCATGTTCTTGTTGCAATTGATTTCTAGTTTCATGCCATTGTGATCTGAGAAGATGCTTGATATGATTTCAGTCTTCTTGAACTTGTAGAGATTTAGTTTGTGTCCTATCATGTGGTCTATCTTTGAGAATGTCCCATGTGCACTTGAGAAGAATGTGTATTCTGTAGTTTTGGGGTGTAATTCTCTGTAGATATCTATTAAATCCATTTGGTCTAGTGCTTCATGTAGAGTCTCTGTTTCCTTGCTAATTTTTTTCCTAGAGGATCTATCCAGTGCTGTCAACGGGGTGTTGAAGTCCCCTGCTATGATTGTATTGTTGTCGATTTCTCCTTGCAAGTCCTCCAGAAGATTTTTAATATATTTTGGTGCTCCTATATTGGGAGCATATATGTTTATCAAGGTTATATCTTCCTGTTGGATAGATCCTTTCAATATTATGTAGTGGCCGTCTTTGTCTCTAGTTATGGTCTTCATTTTGAAATCTATTTTATCAGATATGAGAATTGCTACCCCAGCTTTTTTTTGCTTTCCATTTGCTTGGAAATTTTTTTCCCATCCCATCACTTTCAACCTATGTGAGTCTTTTGTTGAGAGGTGTGTCTCTTGTAAACAACATATAGATGAGTCATGCTTTCTTATCCAATCAGCTACTCTGTGTCTCTTTATGGGACCATTCCATCCATTTACGTTTAAGGTGATTATTGATATGTACTTATTTATTGCCATTTTTGTTTAGTGTGGTTCTATTTTTCTTCCCATTTCTACTGCTAATTACAGCAGTCCTTTTAACATTTCTTGCAGTGCTGGTTTGGTGCTAATGTATTCCCTTAGCCTTTTTTTGTCTGGGAAGCTCTTTAGTTGATCTTCTATTTTGAATGATAGCCTTGCTGGGTAGAGTAGTCTTGGATTCAGATTCTTGTTTTTCATGACTTTGATTACTTCATGCCATTCTCTTCTGGCCTGTAGTGTTTCTTGTGAGAAGTCAGCTGAGAGCCTTATGGGGTTCCCTTTGTAGGTGACCTGTTGCTTATCTCTTGCTGCTTTTAGGATTCTCTCTTTGTCTTTAATTTGTGGCATTTTAATTACTATGTGTCTTGGTGTGGGCCTGTTTGGGTTCTTCTTACTTGGGACTCTGTGCTTCTTGAACTTGAATGCCTTCTTCCTTCACCAAATTAGGGAAGTTTTCTCTCACTATTTTTTTGAATATATTCTCTATCCCTTGCTCCTTTTCTTCTTCTTCGGGGACTCCTATGATGTGAATATTATTACGTTTCCAGTTGTCCCATAGTTCTCTTAAACTGTCTTCCTGTTTTTTAATAGTTTTTTCCTTTTGTTTTTCTGATTCGTTGATTTTTTCTACCCTGTCTTCTAATTCACTGATCCGGTCCTCAGCTTCCCCTACTCTGCTTTTTAAACCTTCCAATGTGTTTTTCATTTCTGATATGTCATTTTTTATCTCTTCTTGTTGGTTTTTAATTTCCAATTGGCTTATTTTCAGTTTCTCTATGTCCTTACTCATGCTGTTCAGCTTCCTCAAGATCATGGCTCTGAATTCTAGCTCTGTTAACATGCCTAATTGCTCCACATTGATCTCATCTTCAGTGGAGGTGTCTTGCTCTTTCATTTGGCTTCTGTTTCTGTGTTTCACCGTTTTGGCTATCGCTGTGGGCTTTGGAGCCTCTCAAGTTCTCCCTGTGGGTGTTGGTGTTCTGCTGTTTGTGGCTCCCTCTCCTGTGTTTAGATGAGCGAGGGAGGACCCATGTTGAACACCATTGTCAAGTCTTACTTTCCTGGTTAAAGTTGCCAGCCCAGGAAACGTACTGTTATCCTCTAGCTTTTTGCCTGGAAGCTAGCAGTCTAGGTTAGTTGATGAGTTTTGGGTTGTCAGTTGATTGAAAAACTCCCTCTGGTGCTCAGCCAAGGGGCTTTCAGGAGGGTGGGGCAGATGCTGGTTGTTAGTGAGCCTCAATTAACACTTCAATGGCCCTCAGGGTGGGGTTGGATCTCTGAGTGAGGGGATGCTGCCTCTCCTCAGAGCCCTGGGAAGGAGCAATGTGGCCACCGTCCTAAGTGGCTGCACTCAGCCAAAGCTCTGAGCGCCCTCCAAACCCTGAGTGTTCTGTCACAGCTCCAGTCCAGTCCGCCCTCCCTCTGCCGGAGCCCAAGGTGAGTGGCTGTGGCTGTTTTAGCCTCTGTCCCGGCTGCGCTGTGGGGCCGCCTGGGAGTGTAACCCTAGGGCGCCGCTTACAGCTGAGGCCACTCCCGAGCTGTCGACTGTGTGCTCCCAGCCCCGTCTCGCGCCTTCGCAAGCCTACCGGGATGGAGTCAGTGTCCCTCGTTGTATGGTCCTCGCAAGCTGCTTTTCTGTTGGTTTTTCCCGTCGATTTGTCTGTGTTATAGTTGTAATTCCAGTTTGGTTCTGGGAGATGGTCTTTGTAGCTCCGTTCACTCCGCCACCATTTTTCTGTCTCATCAATGATTTTTTAAAGCATAAATGTTCCAGTGTCATTTCTTACCTATATCACGTCCCCAGTAACAGTTTAGAAGCCAAATCTGAGCGATATCTCTGGCTAATCAGTATAATTACCTGGGTTACTCCTGCATCATGGCTTTCTCACTCTATTACTTAAGGTTTTGAGTGTGTGTACATCACTTGCATGTGTGAATGCACTTGAGTGTTAATGTGTGTGTTTCTATGGTGGGAAAGAAGATGGCACAAGTAAAATCCTTGTTGAAATCTACTATGTGTTAGATAGCATGCCAGATTAATTCACATAGTATTATCTAGTTTTGTTGGTGGAGAAAGGGACTGAAGGGAGACAATATGTCTGTATTCTTTTTTTTTTTTTTTATTTGCTATGTGCCTCTAGTGGGAACGGAACCCGGGACTCTCTGGTCCACAGGCCGATGCTCCAACCGCTGAGCCAAACCGGCCAGGGCATATGTCTATATTCTTTATGCTTCTATTTTGCTTAGATATTTCACACAGAATAAAAACTCTCAGATGTTGTCCTAGAAATTCTTTTTTTAAATATGTTTTTACTGATTTCAGAGATAGAGAGATAGAACATCTATTGGCTGCCTCCTGCATACCCCTTACTGGGGATTGAGCCCACAAATGGGGCAGGTGCACTGACTGGGAATCAACCAGGAACCTCCTGGTGCATAGGGTGGCACTCAACCAACTGAGCCATACTGGCTGGCTGTCCTAGGAATTCTTAAAGACCTACTAATGATAACATTCTAGAAAGATGAGATTTCTTAAACACAACTAGCTTGTCCAATTAGGTGCTTGAATGCATAATATAATCATAATTTGTAGGTTTTAAGGTTAGGTTTATACCTGTAGGAGAAGATCTATCACTTCGGTTTGTATTTAAACAACTATCTGTCCAAATGGACAAAAGTAGGACATAAATAAAAAACTTCATGTCAAGGGCTTTGTTCAAAGGTTTCTTCTACCAAGAAAACTGCTGTATTTAATATAGTTCAGCCTGTTCTAGGGGTTTATGACATTATCATTTTGTGTCATGGTCTGACAACATAATCTCACCATGGGGAAGCATGAGCTTCTGTGTAGCTAAAGTTAAGTGCATTTAATTTTATTCTAGAAAAAATGGGGTACCAGTAAAGAGTTTCTGGCTAGAGAGTAACATAATAAGATGCGCATTTTAGAAAAATCACTCTGGCTGTTGTATGAGGAAGAGATTTAAGGGGCACAAGTGGAAGAAAGTAGCTTCTTACACTGGTCCAGATGATAGAAGATGCTAGCTTGAAGTAGAGGGTAGTGGTAAGAATAGAGAAAAGTCAATGAATTTGAGAAATATTTTGATAGTTGATAGAACTAGATGATGGGTAGGCTATGCGGCATGAGGGGAAGAGAGGTAGCAATTCATTCATTCATTCAACAAAAAAAGTGTCGAGTGTCTATTATGTTACAGGAAGCTTTGTACTAGGAACTGAGCACTCAAATACTCATAGTTTCTGCCGTCCATGAGTTTGAAATCAAGTGGGAGAGACAGATATGTATATCAATAATCACCAGGGAATGTGGGTGTGTAATATCATGCAGGCCGTGATGTCACAGGGAACAGTGCCACAGGAGCACACAAAAAGAGTGTGTATTCAGGGTTGAGGCTCCTGTAAGAGATGACCCTTGAACTAGGGTGGGGTTTCTATTTTTTTAAAATTCTCTATATTGTTGAAAGTATTACAGATGTCCTTCCATTTTCTCTCCATTGATATTGTCCTCACTGCTTTTGCCCCCTGTCTTCATTGCACTAGTGTCTGTGTCCCTTGGTTATGAATATATGCATTTAAGTTCTTTGGTTTATCTCCCCACACACACACTCCCCTTCCTTCTGAGGTTTGTCAGGCTGTGCCCTACTTCCATGTCTCTGGAACTATTTTCTTTTTCAGCTAAAAATGTTCATTATATTCCACAAATACATAAGATCATGTGATACTTGTCTTTCTCTCACTGGCTTATTTCACTCAGCATAATACTCTCCAGTTCCCTCCATGTTGTGTCAAAGGGTAAGACATTTTTCATTCTTAGAGCTCCACAGAATACCATTGCATAAATGTACCACAGCTTTTTATCCACCGATCTACTAAGTGACGCTTCAGCTGTTTCAGCTATCGTAAATAGCGCTGCTACGAACATAGGAGTGCATAAATTCTTTGTGATCGGTGTTTCAAGCTTCTTAGGATATATTCCTAGAAGTGAGATCACTGGGTCAAATGGCAGTTCTATTTTTATTTTTTGAGGAAACACCATATTGTTATCCATAGTGGTTGCACCAGTCTGCATTCCCACCAGAAGCATACTAGAGTCCTCTTTTCTCCAGATCCTTGCCAGCACTAGTTGTTTGATGATTTGTTGATGGTAGCCATTCTGGTAGGTATGGGGAGATAACTCATAGTTGTTTTAATTTACATCTCTCTGATGATTAGTGATGTTGACCATTTTTATCATCTGTCTCTTGGTCATTTGTATGTCCTCTTTGGAGAAAGTCTATTTAAGTCCTCTGCCTGTTTACTTTTACTATTTATTTTAATTTTATTTTATTATTTAATTTAATTTAATTTTTTAAATCCTCACCCAAGGATATTTTTCCATTTATCTTCAGACATTGTGAGGGGCAGAGAGAGAAAGAGAGAGAGAGAGAGAGAGACACCTATGTGAGAGAGATACATTGATTGGTTACCTCCTGCACGACCCCGACCATGGCCAGGGACTGAACCGCAACTGAGGTATGTGACCTTGACCGGAAACGAACCCATGACCCTTTGGTCCATGGGCTGATGCTGAGTCAAACTGGCAAGGGCCCTCAACTGCTGAGTCAAACTGGCAAGGGCCCTCTGCCCATTTTTAATTGGATTGTTTGTTTTTTATTTGTTGAGTTGTATGAGTACTTTATACATTTTGGAAATTAACCCCTTATCCAATGTATCATTGGAAAAAATATTCTACCATACGGTGGGTTCCCTTTTCATTTTAATGCTGGTTTCTTTTGCTGTGCAGAACCTTTTTAGTTTGATGTAGTCCCATTTATTTATTTTTCCTTTGTTTCTCTTTTCCTAGGTGATGTATCAGTGAAAATTCTACTTTGTGTGATGTTTCCAATTTTGATACCTACATTTTCCTCTAGGATTTTTATGGATTCACGAGTCACATTTGTCTTATCCATTTTGAGTTTATTCTTGTATATGGGGTATGTGGCTGGTCTAGTTTCATTTTTGGCATGTACCTGTCCAATTTTCCCATCACCATTTATTGAAGAAACTGTCTTTCCTCCATTGTATGCTTTTGCCTCCTTTGTCAAATATTAATTGAGCATATTGTCTTGGGTCCATTTCTGGGTTCTCTATTCTGTTCCATTGATTGATATGCCTGTTCTTGTGCCAATACCAGGCTGTTTTGATTACAGTGGCTTTGTAGTATACCTGATGTCCGGTATTGTGATCCTTTCTTCTTTGTTCTTCTCTTTGAAGATTGCTGTTGCTATTTGGGGTTTTTGGTTCAATATAAACTTTTGGAGTTTTTGTTCTAGCTCTGTGAAATATGCCATTGGTGTATTTAAAAAAAATATCCTCACCCGGGGATATTTTCCATCTATATTCAGATAGAGTGGGAGGGAGGGAGGAAGAGAGAGAGAGAGAAACAATGATGTGATAGAGACACCTCGACTGGTTGCCTCGCACACAACCCTTAACAGGGTGAGGACCTAACTGAAACTGAGGTACATGACCTTGACAGGAATCAAGCCCACAACTCTTTGGTCCATGGGCTGTTACTCTTACCACTGAGCCAAACTGTGGGAGACTGTTTGCATGGCATCCATTTTGCTAAAATCTGCTCTGCCATCTCCTGCCCTAAGGCAGGATATCTCTGCATCTCTGCATACAATGTTTCTGCATTCCTTTAAGTAACCATTTACTCAGCCAGTTATGCTCTGTTTATCTTTTGTTCCACCCATGATATTTACATGATATTTACTTGAAATTGCTTCGGGGTGGTTACCACAAACATCGCTTGGCAACAAATGTTCTTGTTTTTCTGCTTCTTGCCCTATATATACTGTGGATCTCCCCAGAATAAACGAGACTTGATCAGAGCCCTGTCTTGCCTCCATTTCTCGTGTCTCTTGTCCCTCCTCATCCTCACTCCCCCTCTAGAGTCCTCATTGCTCGACCTGTGGGACGGGTCACCAAACCAGCCAGGGCATGACATTGGTGTTTTATTAGGGATTACAGAGAATCTATGCATTACTTTGGGTGGTATATTCTTTTTAATGATGTTGATTCTTCCAATCCATGAACATGGCATATGCTTCTATTTTTTTATATCTTCCTCTGTTTGTTTTGTCAATGTCCTTTAGTTTTCTGAGAACAGTTGTTTTCCTTCCTTGGTTAAGTTTATTCCGAGGTATCTTACTATTATTCTTATTTTTTAGTGTAATGGTAAATGTCTTTTTTCCCATTATTTTTAAAAATTTAATTAATTAATTTATTTTTGTTACAAATTTTCCTCCTTTTCCCCCCACTGATTTTCCCTCCCCCTCCCTCCCCATCCTGTCCCCAGCTTTGTGGTCCATATTCATTGTTCATTCATACATGCATATAAGTTCTGTGGTTTATCTCCCCACCACCACCCCTCTTCTGGGGATTTTCAGTGTGTACCTGACTTCCATGTCTCTAGGACTACCCCATTGTCAGACTGTTATGTTCATTATATTCCACAAATAAGTGAGATCAAATGATACTTGTCTTTTTCTGTTTTGCTTGTTTTGCTTAGGATAATACTTTACATGTCATCTCAAAGGATAAGAGATCTTTCTTTATTACAGCTGCATAGTACTCCATTCTGTATATGTACCACAACTTTTTTATCGATTTGTCTACTGATGGACATTTGGTCTTTTTCCAGTTCTTACCTATTGTAAATAGTGCTGCTACAAACATGGGGGTACATATATTCTTTCTGATTGGTGTTTCAGGCTTCCTAGGGTATATTCCTAGAAGTGGGATCACTGGGTCAAATGGCGGTTCGATTTATAAATTTTTTTTTAAATCCTCACTTGAGGACATTTTTCCATTTTTTGTCCAGACAGAGTGGGAGGGAGAGAGAGGAAGAGAGAGAGAGAGAAACATCGACGTGAAAGGAACACATCGAGTGACCAATCAGGGCCAAGAACAAACTACAACCAAGATATGCGCCAACAGTGGGAACCAAACCCAGGTCTCTCTGGACCACAGACCGACACTCCAACCACTGAGCCAAACCTGCCAGAGACAATTTTTAATTTTTGGAGGTAACACCATAGTGTTTTCCATAGTGGCTGCACCAGTCTGCATTCCCACCAGCAGTGTACTAGAGTCCCCTTTTCTCCACACCCTTGTGAACACTTGTTTGATGATTTGTTGATGGCGGCCATTCTGACAGGTGTGAGGTGATACCTCATTGTTGTTTTAATTTGCATCTCTCTGATGATGAGTGATGTTGAGCATTTCTTCATATGTCTCTAGCCATTTGAATGTCCTGTTTGGAGAGGTGTCTATTTAGTTCCTCTGCCCATTTTTTAAATTGAGTTCTTTGTTTTCCTTTTGTTGAGCTGTATGAGCACTCTCTATATTTTGGAAATTAACCCCTTATCTGGTATATCATTGGCAATTATGCTCTCCCATACCGTGGGTTGCCTTTACATTTTGATGACTGTATCTGTGGCTGTGCAGAAACTTTTGAGTTTGATGTAGTCCCATGTGTTCATTTTCTCCTTTGTTTCTCTTGCCTTGGATGATGTATCAGTTTAAATTCTGCTGCGTATGATGTCTGAAATTTTGTTGCCTACATTTTTTTCTAGGATTTTTATGGATTCATGAGTCACATTTAAGTCTTTTATGCATTTTGAGTTTATTCATGTGTAGG